TCCCTAGCAGCTTAAGTAAACAGCATACTTTTAAAACTACATTTTATCAGCAAGGAGACTTTTTATTCGATCTGTACAGTGCTTAGGTTACATGTGAAGCATAAACCCTCTCTTAACTTATGCCAGATTTTGGTGAGAAATCTTTGCAGCTCAACAGCAACAACTTTTGAGATGAGTTTTGAGCAGTGCAGTAGCTTCCAGTGGTGTAGCTGATAGCTTTAGACTTACTGATACAGTCAGCTGCCTTTTTTTTTCTTTATTTTATTTTATTTTATTTTTTTTAATGCATGGAGTCATTTTATCACTAGGAGGTAGAGTTTAGAGCATTTCTTTCCTAGTTCTGGTCCTAACCATTATAACATTGCATTTCCTAGCATGGTAGCTTTTTGTAGCACATCTTAGGTAGGTGCTAAAAATGGGCAGTTTGCTACTACAGTAGAAACTGAGACATCTTTGCTCATAGCAACTGAATAAACCCTTGTAATCATCTGTGGCTTTCTCTCATGGCAATTGCAGCATTATGGGTTTTCCAGTGCTGTCCTGGGACTAGTTTCAAGGGCAGTACAAGCAGGGTCAGGTCTCTTGGTGTTTGCCAGACTGGTGTAGCAGTTGACACTTTAGGAGCAACGCACAAGTGAATAATCCTCACTAGTGCTTATCAGGGGAGGGGTATGTAGGATTTTTGTTCCCACTTTTAGGAGAGCAAAACTGAAGGCACAAAATGTTCCTTGGATATTTACATATTCCCCTTCACCAGAGTTGCCTGGTTTTCTTCACTTCTGGTAAAATTTGGCTTGCAGGGTTTGGGATTTTACCATCTGTCTCACCTAACCCTGACACATACATGACCACAGATAACACATAGTGGGAATGGCATAGGCTGGAGAAACATCCACCCCTTGAGCCATCATGATATAATTAAATGGCTTTTCAGTCTAGAAGTGGCCACACTATTAAAGAGTTTAAATACAACAGAAGCAGAGGAAGCAGTCTGCTCCCTTAATCCGTTAAAGGAAAATGACTTCAGGTAGCAGGCCAGCAGGTTTAGTTTTAAAAAGGTTGTTAACTCTATCAGAGTCAGAAAGTCAGGTAGACCTGGTTTAAGTCTGCTTTGCCATGGGAACTCTTCCTTTCAGGTCACAGAACTTAAATAGTATTAAAAAAAATAATTTTGAGTTTTTGGCATACTAGATTCAAACTGCCTTGAGTGGAACAATTAACTGCCTTGTAGGTTGAGATCAGTCCAGTTGAATGGCTTCTGGACCACCATCAATGAGGCAGGCAGAGCTTGAGTCTCTGCTTCCAAATTATTTTAGTTTGGGGATGGGGGGGAGCCCTTCAGTCTCCAAATTGTGAAGACCCACCTTTCCACACAGGTGTTGCCAGTGAGCTTTGTGAAGCATCACTGTTGGGCTTTGCCACTGGAGCTCTACAGAAGGTCCAGATGTGAACGTGGTAGCGTTGCATAGCTGAAGCTAGGAAGTGGCGAGACAGAGAAGAGAGGAGGGGAGAAAGAGCAGCAGAACTGTCCTTAGCCAAGAGCCAGAGGCTTCCCATGTTGTTTGTTGATGATAGAAGAATTAACAGGTTCTGTTTTGAGCCCACCAAATTAATTTTTTTCTGTCTTTTAACGTTGCTCTAATAAAGCATGGTTTACAGCCTTCACTTACTGTCTTCTATCTTTCTTCCTTTCTTTTTAACATTTAAGTTGCATGGTTGTCTTTAGTTTTTAGCATGTATTGATCTGCAGGCTAACGTGGTTAAAACTCTTAATAGCCCTAACCCCTTACCTTGCCATGTGGAACACGGAGCAGAACCTGAGAGCAGAGCCTGCGTCTCTGGAGGAAGGGATGTCACAGCACTGGTCCCTCACTGAGGCTGATGGCAAGATGGGGTGCTGTGGTTGCTGTTCCCATTCTGGCTGTGGGAGATGATATCTTTTAACTCCAGGATCAAACTGGTTAGATCTCCCTTGCAGTCGAGAAACAACTAGCCCCTTTGCCTAGACAGCAGACCTTGATTTAACCCAAGTCAAACACAGTTGCTGTACATAGGGAAGAACATCGATGACCAGCAGTGGAGCTGGGGCACCTCTGCGAGTGGGGAATGTCACCCAGTGACACTCAGCTGCTGTGCCATGCTCAGACTCTTACTCTGGTGAAGTTGCTGAGCTAGGGCAAGGTATCCACTGGAGGGGGAGAGCAACCTACTCCTTCACATTAATGGCTTTGTGCAGCTTAGCTGAGCGTCCAAAGTTTTTGTGGCAGAGCTGCTCTAGACAGGCTTTGTCATATACCTCGGGCTGTGTGACAGCGGTTCAGCACTTCCCATGGAAAGTGTGCTTGTGAATAGGAGGGCTGGAGAGCCATCATTACTGGGGTCAAGGTGGCCACTGAATTTTGTTCTGCCAGATGCTGTGGTTGGTTGCCTCATTATTTCTGTCCTGCTGCTAGAATTGTCTTCCATATACTTGGCAAGAGAGATGGTGTGAAACTGTCATCTGTTTTCATTGCTCCTTTACATTATTAAGTGGACAGAGGGAGGAGAAAAGATCTCTGTCAGGTCACTTACTCATTTATTTGAAGACGAGCGGCTCTTGCAAGACTATCATATTCCCTGGTGTGAAATAAGCTCCATGTTGCTCCCCACCTTTGTACCTGTCATTGTGCTCTTCACCTACTGATGAAATTGGATCCCACTCTGGAGTTACGTGGATGGCCTCTCAGAGGACAATTCCCCAAAACACAGACGAGCAGCTTCCCAAATCTACCACTCTCCCTTAAAACAAAAAGTAAAACTGAGTCGATTTAAAGCCACAACCTGCAGGCCATACAACCAGTTATTCTTGTTATTTTGGATCATACTCTGTTTATCCTGTTCTTTCCTGTTTTTTTTCTTCTGTTTGCTTTGTTTGTTCGTTTTGTTTTTATTTCCCCTCTCTCTCGTTCTCTCTATTATATATCCCTCCCGTCTGACTCTGATGTTTCTGGATTTGGTGTGGTTCTTAACAGAGGAGAAAGCAATGAGCAGTAGTTTGCAGCCATCCTTGCCTCCCAGGGGCAGTGCATCGTAAGACACGAGAGGTGATGCAGGTGTAGAGGTAGCCCCATTGAGTTGGACAGCGTTGTGGGACATCTTGAGATACCATCAACTATGCAGGGCTTTTATTTTATAAGGATTGTTTTTTTTATTTTTTCTGGAGGAAAGTTGAGTTTGTAGATTAAGCACAGTGGTCTCCAAAAACATCTTACCTGATTTTCCGATTATTAAAATAACTAAGGAAAGGAGGCAGCCTGAAGAGGAGGGGGACCAAGAGACAATTGGTGAATCCTTTCCAAATCTGTTAGCTGAGGGGAGGTTCCCAAGCGGGCCCGGTGCCGAGGACACCCCACCAGACCCCCAGGACAGTGCGTGGGGCCAGGGTGCCACCCCTGCAGAGCCCAGAGTAGCTAATTAATGGCTCTTTGCTTTAGATAACTGTCTCCATCAGCGTCTCTGCCCTTTATTCACAGATAACTCTCTCCCTGTTTCTAGGAGAAAAAAAAAGTGCGTTCGCTACATACAAGGTGAAGGCAGCTGCGTCAGCCCACCCTCTTCAGATGGAAGCTTACTAGACTCTCCTCCGTCCTCCCCCGCCATGCTCACCTCCCCCTCCAGAGACTCGAAACCACAGACTGAACAAACGCAACCCCTCTCGCTCTCGTTGAAGCCCGACCCGCTGGCACACCTGGTCATGATGCCGCCGCCATCCTCGCTCGTCCTTGCCGAGAGCGCTGCGAGCAAGCCCGGCGCTCTGCCTGCTGCCAGCTGCCCCAACGGGGCCCTGGACCACCCGCCGGCCGCCCTCCCGCCGGCCGCCGCCGCATCCCTAGCACAGCCCTCCACCTCCTCCTTGCATTCCCACAGCTCGCTGGCGGGGACACAGCCCCAGCCGCTCTCCCTCGTAACCAAGTCCTTAGAATAGCTTTAGCCTCGTTAGCCCTTTTGGTTTCCCTCGGGGGGATTGAATTCTGTTGGGATTTGGGGTTCGTTGTTTTTGGTTTTGTTTTCTCCTTTTCTTTACTTTTTTTTTCCTTCTCCTCCTCCTCGTCGTCCGCTGTTTGTCGTCGTTTCTCGGTTTCGTTTTTAATTTGTGCCACGTGGCTACATTAGTTGATGTTTTATCGAGTTCATTGGTCAATATTTGACCCATTCTTATTTCAATTTCTCCTTTTTAAATATGTAGATGAGAAAAGCCTCATGATTCTGCCAAAATTTTTATCAACAGCTGTTTAAAGTCTTTGTAGCGTTTAAAAAATATATATATATACATAATTGTTATGTAGTTCCAATAGCTTAGTTTTAAAGACTGATTTTAAAAATTTAAAAAAAAAAAAAAAAAAAAAAAAGAAGCAATTTTGAAGCAGCCCTTGCCGGAGGCATTGGTTCTTTATTATTTGTATTAAATACGAGCTTGCGAACCAATCATTTTACATCTGGTTTTTAAACCTTTAAGGGCACAACGAATGCGGTGCCGCTACTACTTCTTTTTTTTTTTTTCCTTCCTTGTGTGAAACAACCTTTATTGTGATGTTACTTGTTATTGTTTAAATGTACAGAAACAAAGGGTTAAAAAAAAAAATGTGTTAATATACCTTGTTCCATGGTGTTGTTCTTTTTGGGGGAGGGAACGCTACTCAACAATTAAAAGTATCACAACGCTATTGGACCAGTAGTATTTATTGCTTTAGAAATTGCTTGTTGTATCTGTATGTTGTCCCTTTTTAAATGTTTTTTTTCCTCTTTTTTTTCTTGAAACATTGTATAAAGTTTTTTTTTTTTCCCTTAGTGTAAGCATCTTATATATAACAACTCATTTGTACAAGGTTTTTAAGTTTATATATAAATGTGTATATATATATTTTTTCCGGGATTTTTGTTTTTGATTTCCTTTTGTGATTTTTTTTTTTTTTTTTTTTTTGCTATATGAAACACAGTTGCCACCAAATGGACATTTGCAGATGCATTTTTTCAAGGATCAATAGTGTAAAAAGAAAAAAAAAAATGCTTTAAAAGCCATTACACACAAAAAGACTTGAAAATTTAGCAAGGGAATTTTTAGCAACGCTGTTTGAAAAATAGCAAGGTCCAAGTGTCTCCCGTTCAGAACTGCAGCTGAATCCCCTGCGACATTAGGACTGTAGGCTGTGTGCAAAATTTTTATGTGCCAAAATTCAGTGACTTTTAACTTTCTCCCAACAATTTTTTTTTTTTTTTTTTTTTAATGCTGTAATTTTTTTTGTTCATCATGTTTTGCTGTGATGTTACATAGGTAGATATGTATGTAGTTTTAATGTCACCTATAACAGACGTGTTTGGTAGCAGATTGTCCGGAAAGCATTTAAAATGAAGAGGTATAAACCCTTAAGGGCCAAATTCTGTATATTAGATTATTCATAAAAGGAAAATCAGACTGCCACTTTTATGTACACTTACTACATACAGGTAGGTAGCAAACTTAAAACAAAAAAAAAAAAACCTAGGCATGTTGATGTTGCAAAAAAACGCTGTATAAAGCTGAAAAATTGTTCATCTGTTCATTCAGTGCCATTGTAGTTGACATGAAGCGATTGTAAAACTGTCTCAGATTTTTCTCTGGTTTATTAAGATGCTAACTATAACATTTTTTGTGAATACTTTGAATGTTTCCTAACAGTTGTGATGTTACTGTTCCGTTTTATGCTCTTATTCCAATTTTCATTTTTAATGGTTTGGAAGCCATTTTTTGTAATGAATAAATGTTCATGCTGTACAGTATCTGTAGCATGCAGTTCTGGATTAATAAAAGCAACTTAGTATGTGCAGAGAATGACTTGTCAACTCATTTTTGCGTTGACTGCATTTTACTCTGGCCAAAAAGATTTACAGCCCGAGGGGAAAAGTTCCTCAATTTATTTATTTATTTAATTATTTATTTTGTGTGTGTGAAAATCGTAGTGACTTGCAACCAGCTCTAGTTGTGAGAAATCCTCTGTTTCCTTTGGGTTCCCGTGCTGCTGCCTGCTAAATCCGTTTTGCACGAGCCCTCTCGCTGCTCAGCAAGCTTTTGCGTGAGTAGCAGCGGTAGAAAATCCTTTTTATTCCAAGCAAATGGCACGTGGTTTGGCAAAAGACAAATAGCACGTGAGCTAAAGGAATGTCATCCCTCTGTGTGAAGTGATCCTGCCTGGGGGACGGGAGAGCAGTGCCGATGGTACCTTCAGTTTTAAAACATTTTTGTTGAACCTGGTGATCTCACAGCACAGGACCGATGCAGTATAAGGGTCACACAGGAGAGCTTAGGTAGCCCTGATTAGTCAGAATCCTTGTGCTGGCTGTAGGGTTTCCCTCCTGGATAGATTTGAGCCTGGGTTTGCATATATATATATATATATATATGTATGTATGTATGTACACTCTTTTTTAAATGTAATGAGCCTTTGCAGCACAGCCTGCTCTCGGCACTGAGCATCCAGCATCCACCAAACGCAGCAATGTCTGCAGATGCTGCTGGATGAAAGTAAAGTTAAATGCAAGAATTTTTATTAAATGGTCAATTTGTTTGGGGTTTCTTTAACTGAGTAGGGATTTAAGCTTCATGATTTCCAGGAATCTCTTAGAAGTGGATGTCACCATAGCCCCAGTCATCTTGGAACATCTCAACCATAGTAATTTCTACAATGGCACTCGAGGGCAATCGAATGCAAAGGCTCGTTCCCTGCCAGCGTGCCAGTCTGTCACTCAGGTAATCACTGCTCCTCAGTCTGTCTTGAGATGGACTCTGCAGGAAGGGTAAGTTTTCTTCCTCCTGTGGGAACACTGATGAAGTGATTTTCTGCAGAGACCTGGGAATGGGGCCATTTCAGGAAGCCCAGCCTCGTGTTGAGACTGTGCTGTCCCTTGGTCTGATAAAACCAAAACTGGCTGTGAAGCAATTGTCTGTTGGCTGCAAAGGGAATTTGCTTTGTAGAGGGGCTGGGAGGTACTGGGTGAAGTCCTAAATAATGCTTAAACAGAATATATAGTACTTTCAGTTACTACTACTTTTTTAATGACTACTTTACAAGCCAGAAGCCTTGGGTTTTTTCTCAAGTTTGTTAATAAAGGGTAATATACATGAGTATTGCTTCATATTTCCTATTAGAAGAATTAAGTCACAGTGAATTTTTTTTACGAGGCTCCATTTATCTCCTTTGGTCCGAGGCCTGATGCTGTTTCTGTTGTGGTCTGCCATGACACTGCCCTAGACTTCATTGGCACATGTCCCCTTGTCACCTGTGACAGGCGTGTGGGCAGCATGGGTGGGATGGGACTCTGCAACAGGGAAGAGGATGTTGCTGTGAAGTCTTTGTGGAAGATGCCAAATGTTGCTGTTGTTGGTAGCCAGCAAATCGAACGCGATGCTCGAATTACTCTCCTGCTATTTAAGGTTTCTAGGGAATTTTTTTTTTTCTTTCTCCTGAAGATTTTGACTCTCGCTAGAGCATGGCCATCCATCAGCCAGACACATGTGGTGCATCTGCTGGGGATAAGTGCTCTCTTCTAATGTAAAACATGGTGCTCCAGGGAGATCTTTGAATGCTATGATTCAAAGGAGACACCATCAAGGTATGATTCATATATTCAGCAAAATAGCATGTTCTTTGCTCACTGCTTTATTAGTGAGTCGTTGGAAAGCAGAGTCCAAAAACACTGTTCCTGAACAAATTGGTTTTCCTTCTGTGTGTGCAGTGAGAGGCATGTGTTTGAAAGATAGGTTGAACAGAGCTCACGAGTGGTGGATAACTCGTGCTGGGAGCTCTTTTGCTGTTGAAGACAACTGCATATTCCTGGGAAAGCAACCGCTTGGGTTTCCTGTAGGCTGTGCTTTGGCTGTGTCCCTTGATGGGCTTATGCCTTCAGATTTGCCTCCAAATTTCCCTTGCCTAGAGGACCTGAGCTGGGTCAAGGCTCCTGGGAGAAAATTACAATTATTTATATGTACTCCCTATGTGCTGAGGAGTCACAGCCAAGGACCCCATCGGATGAGGTGCACTGGAAACACGATGGAGAGCAGCCCTTCCCATACACTGTGGGTTTAAAATAGGGTGAGCGACTGGCTACAGGGGTACGGATGGATCACCCCCTTCACCCCAAGATCCACGCAAGTGAGGGCAACCTCCAGAGCAGGACGGTGAGAAACTGGCACGCTGTGTCCTTGTACAGGGCTGTCACAGGACAGCATGGGGCCCTACATACAGTAAGTAATTCACTATAGCTATTGCTTCCATCTGGTTTTATGGGATAAGGCAGGGAAGCAAGTCAATGTATTGCATGTTCGGGAGACATTTATTTTCCATTAGTTTTGTAAATCTCATTTTTCACTTAGTGTATGGAATTTTTAAAAGTTTAAGCAATTGCTGACTCAATAAAGCAGAGCCACATGGTTTTAAGCTTTGCTTAAAAGAAAAAAAGGAAGGGAGAGGCAGGAAAAAAGAGCAGTCTTTAGAGTCCTGTTCATTTCATTAGACCATAAAAAGATGTAAAGGGAACTCACAGTAAAATAGTTTCATGGGCCATCACAACAATCATGAAAGCAAGCAATAATAATAATAATAATAATAATAATAATAATAATAATAATAATAATGATAATAATAAATGAACGTGTGTGACAGTGCTGCCCAGCTTTGTCTGGCATACATATAGGAGTGCTTTACCACCTGAGACTCTGGGTAAAGATTTTGGATGCTGTTTTGGGAGAGATGCTGCATTTGAAGACTAAATACGGTACCAGATCAGCACTGAGCTTCAGTGGTCTTGGTTGGACAGGAAGGCTAAAGCTCTTGCAGCCTTAAAACTATGAATATGCAAATTTGCTCAGAGATTGTAGCAGTTGCTATATTATAAAAAAAGGGCAGACAGGTACTTTAGCATTCATTTTAAGATGTTCTTGGAAAACATCTTGAGATTTCTAAGGCAGATCAGCTACAAGTGAACACTGTCAGCCACCCATCCTTGTCAATAATGTCACCAGCTTGTTTTAAGGACCCTCTGAGGACAGGAATCTGCCAACCCCTGGACTGATTTTCTTCAGGGATCAGTCCAAAATATTCACTCATTACTTGCTTCCATGTTCTAGGAGTTACTCTTTTTCAGAGATGGGGAATGCGTGTAATTTGGGGTGAGGAGGTGTTAGCCCAGACCTCTAAGGCAGTGGAGATCATGAAGTCATTGCTGTCTGTCCATCTGTTTGACCTTATCCTGATAACTCGTGAATCCTCTGGCATTCTGAACCAAATTTGACAGCAGCAGTCAAACTCTCAGAGATGATAAAGTCCCTGT